CTGGTGTGAATGAATGTCTCCTGTGACCATTTATTTTGAGGCAGTATATTCACCCTCTACTCCTGGTAACATATTGGCAATGATTTCTACAACCTTTCTCTATAGCTATCTGAATTGCCTACATTTACAGAGATTTTGACTACAGGGACTAACATTGTTGTAAAAAGAGGGCCTCATTTATTTAACCATGTCTCTGCAGTATATGTTACACTTTATGTACTTGTGCCTACTTAGTATTGGAGAGGAAAACAGGCTTTGCAATTGACATGTTGGCAGTGTTAAAGATTCAACCTCTAAGCTATAGCATTACCTTCTATGAGGGATAATTTCTGGCATACATGAAAAAAAGTTAGAATTCAGTCATAGCCTGTATAAATGCAAGGTAATTTAACCCAATTTTACTTGTTTTTTGTATTCTGCCCCCCCCCCCCCCTCCCCCCTATGATATATAAGGAAAGAAGTTAGGGCTTTTTCTCAAGTTTCTTTTTCAATTTTGCTTTTTATATTAAAAGCAAATCTGATATGTGACTTGCAACTTGTAGATCTGAAAGTATTAATGTTCTTGATCTTGCTATTATGGGTGAGTAAAATTCAAGAGGTTTCTTTTCTTCCAAAGTACCTATTATTGGTAGAAATTGCAATCAAGAGATAACCATATTTGTACAAATAAACAAAATTTTGAAAGTTGCCAGTTTGAAAAGTAGTTGCATGTTTTTCATACTTGTAGGATATTCATAAATAGTATAATATATATAAGTATATATAGGTAGGAGTTTTGCAAAGGAACATATTTAATAAATCATAATCTATTTTTGAGACACATTACTGTTCTCTTTGATATGTTTTTAATATATATACAGTCTGTAGGAGTTAGACATTACAGACAGTCCAGGGGAACTTTATATTCTGAATGTTATTTCATTTATTTAATATTATTATGCCCCCTTTGAAGAAGGGAGAGCATATTGCTTTTCTGCTGTCTGTTGGTGGGTTTGTCAGTCTGTCTGTCGGTCCACCAACAGTTTCCTTTCATTTTCTTTGCAGAGGTTGCACATACTGAAATGAAATTTGGTATACAAATTTTTCATGAAAATATCTAGGTCAAGTTTTATTAGGTCACCTGAGTAAACTCAGGTGACCTATTGGTATCTGTTTTCGTTCGTCGTCGTGTGGTGTGAATCGTGCGTCGTGTGTTAACATTTGAACTGTTGAACATTTTTAGCTTCTTCTCTGCAACCACGCAACCAATTTCCACCAAATTGGCATAAAGCATCTATAGGTGAAGGGGAACAAAAATTGTGAATTTCATGGTACCTGCCCCCCTGGGGCCTGAGGGGTGGGGCCAAAACCACTGAAATTAATGCAATCTTTAAAAATCTTCTTCTTTACTCCTGGACGTCAAGCAGTCAAACTGTTAGCACGAATGTTATGACCATTGAGTCCTCTACCAAAATTGTGAGATTCATGGCCCCAGGGTAAGGGGTTCTAGTGCTATGATGGGGCTCTATTGATTATTATGAAAATGCATTATTTCTATAAAAATCTTCTTCTCTGCTCCTGGGTATTAAACAAAGTAAGTATATAGTTATGGTAAGCAAGAATGCCTCTTCCAGAATTGTGAATTTTATGGCCCCAGGATCAGGGGTTCTGGAATTAGGGCGGGGCTCTATTGATTATATAGTGAAAATGTAGAAATTTTTTGAAAATCTTCTTCTCTGCTCCTGGGTATTAAATAAACTAACTAAGTACATAGTTATGATGAATAAGAATGCCTCTTGCAAAATTGTGAATTTTATGGCCCCAGGGTCAGGGGTTCTGGTATTAGGGTGGGGCTCTATTGATTATATAGTGAAAATACATTAATTCTTTGAAATTCTTCTTCTCTGCTCCTTGGTATTATACAAACTAACGAAGTACATAGTTATGATGAGTAAGAATGCCTCTTCCAAAATTGTGAATTTTATGGCCCCAGGGTCAGGAGTTCTGGTGTTAGGGTGGGGGCTCTATTGATTATATAGTGAAAATGTAGAAATTCTTTGAAAATCTTCTTCTCTTCTCCAGGTTATAAACAAACTAACCAAATATATAGTTATGGTAAGGAAAAATGCCTCTTCCAAAATTGTGAATTTTATGGCCCCAGGGTCAGGGGTTCTGGTGTAAGGGCAGGGCTCTATTGATTATATAGTGAAAATACATTAATTCTTTGAAAATCTTTTTCTCTGCTCCTGTGTATTAAACAAACTAACTAAGTATATAGCTATGATGAGCAAGAATGCCATTTCCAAAATTGTGAATTTTATGGCCCCAGGGTCAGGGGTTCTGGTGTAAAGGCTGGTCTCTATTGATTATATAGTGAAAATACATTAAATCTTTGAAAATTTTCTTCTCTGCTCCTGGGTATTAAGCAGATGAACTACCTATATAGCTATGATGAGCAAGGGCCATTCTTCCTGAATTGTGAATTTCAAGGCCCCTGGGTCAGGGGTACCATAGAGGGGGTGGGTGGGCTCTACTTATATATTGGAAATGAATTAGTTGATTGAAATCTGTTCATTGGTATTAATGAAACATTTTTGATAAGCAAGGGTACCTTTTCCAAAATTGTGAAATGTGTGGACAAAGGGTCAGGGGTTCATGTGTGGTAGTGGCACTACTGATTATTGCTGAATATTACTGAGTAGTCGAAATTTTTTTGTTCCCCTACTCTGTCTTTGTATATTAAGTAACCAAAGTAAGCATGGTAAGTGTATAGTTATGAGAAACAATGGTGCCTCTTTCAAAATTGTGAATGCCATGAAGTCTAGTTTAAAACATGAACCAAATTCAATCATTGGAAAGTTGTTGCATGATGTCAGGTGACCTATAAGGCCCATGGGCCTCTTGTTTAGGATATGATCAAGCAATTTTTGACAAAGCTATGCCCCTTCCTTCACCTAATGATCAGCACTTTGGGAGAACTTTCAGCAAGTTGTGGAGCCTTCAAATGAGACCTTAAAAACAGCTTTGAAGGCCCTGTGGCATGGAAAACATTGGCATGAGAAAGTATCTTCACTGCTCAATGGCCCTGGGTGCCAAGTAAAGGTCTAAATTTGAAACTCTTCACTGGTATAAGGTGACATCTCTAAATGCCATTAAGTGAAAAATTCTTACAAAATGGGATGATCTTTTACTTCCTTCTGTTCTAAGTTAAGAGTGTATTATCATATATATCACTTATCTTCACAAAGCATCCCTGGTTGAAGGGAAAGTGATTAAACTAAAAGTGATTTTCATCACTTATTGTATTCTCCTACATGTATTACAAGAGAGACTCAATTTGATTGGCTGCCAAATTGAACTAAATACATGTAGCACAATTCTTTATTAGACATAAGTAAGCCGTGTGGGATATGAATTTTATTCAATATTCACTTAACCTAGAAACAGAATAAATGATGGCTATATGTGATGTTTTATGAGAATATAAGGCTGGAATTGGTACTGTAAATCAAGATGTCTGAGCTTATAGAATGTTGACATTAGAAATTCTAGTGCATATCAGTGCAGATATATAAAAAATGTGGCATCAGTTTACACCAAAAAAGGTCAATTTTCTTTGTTGTGATGTCTTTATATAAAAAAGTATATTATTCTTTTTCATGCCCCCCTTCGAAGAAGGGAGGGCATATTGCTTTGCTGCTGTCGGTCCATTTAGTTTCCGTTCATTTTCTTCACAACGATTGCACATACTGAAATGAAATTTGGTATACAGATTTATCAGATGAATATCTAGGTCAAGTTGTGTTTTGGGTACAATCATGCCATTTTGAACAGAGTTGTGCCCCTTGGACTTGAAAAAATTCCAAATTCCAATTATTTGCAGTTTCCATTAATTTTCTTCGCAGAGGTTGCACATACTGAAATGAAATTTCATATACACAATTATCAGATGAATATCTAGGTCAAGTTCTGTTTTGGGTATGATCACGCCATTTTGGACAGAGTTATGCCCCCTTGGACTTGGAAAAATTCCAATTTAAGGGAGGGGGGCATAAGTGTTTTACAAACATCTCTTGTTTAAAATGAATCACAGTGACTATCAGCAAAGCTGAAGAAACAATTGGTCCTTTTCCCTCCATGTAGCAATTCAAAAATATGACACTGGGTGGGGCATTAAAGAAATAGATATTTCTATATTTAGAATTCTACTTAGAATTTACAGAGAATCTGAATCCTCAAAATCTTTCATTTTGTAATGATTTATCAAGTTTGTCCATCATTAAAGATTGGTTACAATCAGAGGTATTTGTTTTTATCATTAAAATTAAAAAAAAAAACAAAAAACAGGAATTCTCAAAGTAAGCAAAGGTGATGTATTGTCAAACTGATCTGCCTATATGAGAACCATCACATGTTTTGTAGATTTCATGCTGTTTCTGTGTAATGCCACAGCAGAATTCTCAGCATGAGTAGGAGATTTTATAAACAGAGTGTTATTATTTAATCGACTTTAATCACGAGTTTTTAAGGTACATGCTATAATAGTGTTGAATAAAAAATAAGTCTTACATTTTTAAGAGGACATGATTTAATGATCCTTCATGCCAGCATATTCCAAGGTGAGCTAATGCTTCATGATGAATAAAAGTATGAGGTTTTGTAGTTCAATTGTGCCTCAAGAATTCTCAGAAATTAAATTCATATCTAATCTTAATATTGGCATTATTTATCTGATGGCAAGCTAATTTTTTTTTAATTTTCAAAACTTCTGTGGTCACCACACAAATGTAGTAGGGAGCAAGATTCATTCACATAGCCAGAGGTTTAAACTGCAAACAAATTCTATTTAATCAAATTTTGCAGTAGTCCAAAATTTCCTCTCTACTCAGGACTTTTATAACTGGAACTTTCAGAACTTCTATAATTGTAATTTTCAGGACTTCTTTAGTTTGTAACTTTAAGCACTTCTATAATTGTGAACATCAGGACTTGTATAACTGTTAACTACTCTTGTATTGCAGGTGGTTTTGGCAAGTGTTCCAGATCTGCAGTGTGGATTTTCCCGAGACTTGTTTTTAGCCTGGTGTGGTAGTCCTAAAAATAGCATCATCCTGACCAACCGGACCTCTCCAGGAACTCTGGCAAGATGGCTGATAGACAACCCAGAAAACAAGACCGTTACCATGGATGTAAGACATGTGTCACCCACACTCTGGTGACATCTAGTAAGACCTGAGCATTATAAACTAAGCTTGAGGTCTACCTGAGGCTTTTAGTACTTTTGTTGTATAATTTGTGGTTTAACATAGGTCACCAACTTTGAGAAAGGTATTTATCTTGTGAATCAGACTATGGACATTTAGATTTTGAGATTATTAGGGTTACCTCCTGTAGATTTGTAAGTTTGATGAGAAAAGAAAATGTCACTAAAGTCTGGAATAAAAAGTACAGTGTGTCAGATGGATAAAAGTCAGTCTGAAGAAATTTACATACAGAGAAATTTTTAAATTTCAGCTGGGCCAATAGCTAGACTTAACACTTTCGAAACTGATATCTAGCACCTTTATGTCTATTTGCTGATTGTCATGTCTGTCTATAAACTTTCTTTATTTTCACTTTTTCAACCAGGCCAATTTCAGCCAAATTGGCAAAATCAATATTGTGCAATGTGCATACATATATGTTGGCAATATCTGAAAATCTAAGAGGCAGACAGTGTCATGTAATTCAAGTTAATTAAAATCATTGTGCTTTGTCCATTACTAGGATTGTAATTCTGATCAGATTTGTTTTTCAAACCATTATCTTAACCATGAACTAGAATTAAAGTATAGTAAGTTTTACAAGCTAGGGCATACATGTAAAAGGAAAGCGACAATATTTAAAAATGGGTTGCTTAAAAAGTTTTCAAAGAAGATCTCTTCCCAAGTTGCCTTCAAGCCATATGGTGATTAAACTTGCACGGATGACTGGATAACAAAGCTATGGATGCTCATTCAGAAAAATGCATTGGATGCCTGGATCTGACCTGCATTTTTCCAGTGACCATTTTAAGCTCACCTGTACAAAGTCAAGAAATGCTTATCTTTATCCTGTGTTGTTATCAGTGTTTGTATTGGTGTCCTGGGTAAAGTTTTAGGTGCAAGTCCATTCTCATGAAACTATAAGCCTTAAACTATAAGCCTTACCTGGACCTAACTCTTGAATGTTGCATGAAAGAATGGCCAATACCTGACATGCTTTGGATGCAGGATCCAACATATATATATTTCAAATGAGTGATTAGAACCAAGCTAACTTGAATGAAGTCTCTAGAGATGAACACTCCCATCCTTGTTTTGGATGCTGGATCTGACATTTTCCAGATGAGGGACCAGGTAGGTTAAAATTTTTGGAGTAGGTCAATTTCCAAGTAACTATAAAGCCCTTAAAAACCAAACTTGCACAGATCTCAGAATGAATGTTGCCTAGCTAATTTTGAAGAAAAAAATCGATGTGATAATTCCTTTACTTATACGTAACAGTTGTTCAATTGAGCTTCATAATATTTGATTATAGTGAAACTTGTGGAATCAGGATATTGTGTAATCCAAACTCTTGTTAAATACATACAATGTTAAAGTCCATTTTAGTAAATTAATCTGTGGTCTTATCCAGAATTTTGTCTAATCTGACCATTTTCTTTGCAACAAGTGGTGTATGAATTAGACAAGTTTTTACTTATGTTTAATCTAATATGTTTCAAGCACATAAACATGAGTAATGTTTCAGGAACTTAATGTGAACATAAGTAAAAATTTGTCTATTCTGGACACCACTGGATGCAAAGAAATCAGTTGGATATAACCAGATGTAAAGGTAACTAGAGGCCTTCCTAAACAGACATGAATAGGAAGTTTTACACTCCCAGTCCTGCTTTGGAAGCTGAACTTGGCCTTGATTGATGATTAGGTAGTTTTCATAATAGGTATTAAGTCCTACACAGACCAAATTGTATGGTATGTTATGGAATTCAAATTACCAAGACATTATTTGGTTTTAGACTTTCTGTTAGATATTATGATTTGCCAAGGTGTGTGGTTTACTGTAAATCACTTTTTATTTGCGAGAACTTTATTTTCGCGTAATTACGCAAGACAGTGTGCTCGCGAAAATTTTATTCTCGCATATAATAGTATTCCTTAAGATTATATAGAGCAGAAATCACAAATCGTGAAAATTTTGTCTCGCTAATTAAGAGTCAATGACTATCTCGCGAAAATAAGGTGTCGCGAAAATTTAGTGATCTACAGTAAGTGTTATAGGGGATATAGATTGAAGGTAATAAATGGGGTAAATTGGCTGATGAGCTTATTTTTCTGAGAAAACAAAATCATTTATAAGGTATTAAAACAGCAGGGTTTTCTATTGGGCCATTTAATCTGGTGACTTAGCCAGAGTTAAAAATTAGATCAGTTCCATAGTTCTGCCACAGTAAATCATTTGTCCTTGTTTGGCTTGCACTATTGTCTATCTTCTAGATCCTAGTTGATTTATACTCTTGATCGAGTAGAGTAGCAATTTTTTTCACACTTCCAAGTAATTGCATTATGAGTATGAGTCATCATATTTGTATTGTTACAGTAATCACATTTTCATGTAATGTTAAAAAATTTATGATAGATCCATCAAAAATATTATATTTTGGCTGCAAACTTGGCTTTTTTGTTGCAAATTGAGTTTTAAAAAGACCTTGAATACTAGCACTTTGCTGTTCTGCATACCAGTGGGGTTTAAAATGATGGAGAGCTCTCTAAAAATATGTATGTCAAAAATAAATATTTGAAACAATAAGTCATATTCATTAGCAAAGCCAGTATATAGATCTTCTGTTTATTTAACCGACCTTAAGCTAAAGATAAGAATAACAGAATATCGTTATTTGTCTGACATTGTCTTTCTTTTTTATAGGAAAGAGTGTATTTGACATGTATTGCTCTTTTTTCTCTAAAATATTTTCAGTAGTTTCGATTTCATAAAGGGTATGAATAATTAAAAAGAAATTTTTAACAATGTCATCCATCTAAATGTCAAATTGTTTTTTTTACATGTGATATCTGTCTCAGTCTCTCTCATCAATATTACATTCATGACTTACTATAGCTTTTAGTAGGACCATTACGGTTTTAATGAGTGTTTTATTGACTTCATTCCTTGCATTTATTGATTTGGTTTTATTAAATTTCCCCTATTTCTCACTCTGTTCTCCTTTCCTTTTTCATTTTTTTCTAAAAGTTGATAAAATTCACTTACTTTTTTTCTTTCTTCTTTAATGAAGTTTATCATTAAGATGGGCCAGTATTTTTTTTTTTTCAGCAATTAAAAATTGTTTGATCAAAATTAAAACAGTGGTAGCAGTTTCACAGAAAGTGAGAAGATAGAGCTCATTAGAAACTTTTGTTGTTTTAAGTAAAAAGAGAAAAATCAATGTTATCTAAAAAAGTTTTAATTGAGGAAATGTTTTCAAAGCAATGGATCAGACCTGTCTTGTATTTGGCCAGAATCAAAGAAATTGATGTTTTCTGATTATTAAGCTTTGTGTAAAACAAGATGGCACCTAGGTTCCACATCAGAGATTTACAGTAAATTGAGTAATGGTGTTTACCTGTGTGTCAGGTAGACATATCCTCTGTGACAATTTCTGGAGTCTCTTGTTTGTCTGTTTCTCTGGGATGGTAAAACTGATTTGCTGTGGGCTGAACATCTCTGTACAGTGTGTACTCACCCAATGTTTACATGATCTAGAACCTTGTTTAAATAAGAGACATCTCATGCATGAATCCCTGTTATCTCATTATATTTTATGTTGACTTAATATGGATTATAAACTTTGACTTTATTACATCTACAGGTAGTTGTTTCATCCCATTGGTTTACAGTACAATCAAGGCCCTATGAAAGAACAAAGCATACACTATTTTCTGTACCCTATTGTCTAGTCTGAGTACATAAAACAAATTTATATCACACTAGAAAATCATAAAAATAATAACACAGGAAAATGAAAATCCATAATTGCATGTACCATGTGCATTGAATAACAAATTGAAGGCCAGGATACAAATTAAAGAGTAAATTAATGACTTGTCATTGTTTTAGGAAGTTTGACTTCTCCTAGAAATAGAGATGTTTTACATTAGATGTTTTGGCATGCAGATTGTGTAGTTCCTTTGACATCCTTATTTTTTAAGTGAAAATGAGATGTAAAGATTGAAACTTTCGTAGACACAAAATTAAAAATAACTATGTTTCTCTATATAATGGGTTAGAGAAATTCTGTAGATAATTAAGATAAATGAAAAAGTAAAAGAAAAAAAATGTCTTTTACTAAGCATTGGTGCCAGCTTGTATAACTTTGATATTTGTATGTTTTCATATTTCTTGCTACAAAATAAAATTCCTGACATCTACATATGCAATACAACATGTACTTTGTTGGTGAGTAAACTGATACAATATTTTCTGTTGGTACAGATAAGAAGAAGAGTAAAATTGGAGGGAGCAGAAGTGGAGGAGTATCTCCGTAAAAAGAAAGAGAAAGAGGCAGAGGAACAGAGAATCAAGAATGAACAGAAAAGGTTTGTATCAGGAGGACAGAGATTAAAAAATGAACAGAAGATGTAAATATCAATAGGACAGAGGAACAGAGAATCAAGAATGAACAGAAAAGGTAATCATCAGTAGGACAGATGAACAGAGAATGACGTACGAACAGAAATGATAATATCAGTAGGCAAAAGGCAGAGGATAAAAATTGTATAGTACAGGTATTTATCGTAAGACAAAGAAAGATGAGAATCCAATAATGATAGAGCAAGTCAACTGGGTTAAAAAGAGAGTAGAATGTGAAAAATGGGAGGCAAACACAGAAGGAAAAGAGAACAGGAAGTAAAAAGTAATGCAAAGAAAGCATAGTTTGTTAAGGCGAACATCAGAAAGCAAACAGAACTGAGAGACAAGAAAACGTCAGAAGACAATGAGAGCAGAGAATAAAAAGAAACAGGTAAACATCTGAATGCGTAGAGAACATGGAAACAAGGACAATTGACTAGGTAACCTACCAGTAACAATAAAGCAGGTAATATGAGAAAATTAAAAGAAGATGCAGAGATTCACGAACAATAGAGCAGGTAACATCCTTGTAGAAAGAGAACAGAGCAGGTAAACATCTGAATGCTAACAGACGTCAAGAAATTAATAAAATGGGTAAATTATCTTAACACAAAGAAATGGTTTGTGAATTTAAAAAGTTGCACTCAAAAAATTGAAAAGCATAAAAAAAGGAATGGATATGAAAAAATGAGATGGCAGAGGTAAGAGAATCAAGAGTGAATTTTAAAGATATGTGCATTAGTGGAAAATCAAGAATGAACGAAAGGTCAAAATCAGACAGAGAGACTGCTGGGATTCATCTTATTCAAACTAGAGATAATGTAGATCTAGAGTGTAGGCAGGGGACATTGTAGAGGAATATCTAAAGGTGTGAATCGCCATTTAATTAGATACTAAAGTTGCATTTTAGTGGAAGCAAAATTGGCTACCTGTAAAACTTCAAAAGACAAATATTCTAGATTTTTTTTTTCAGAGATAATTTTAACTACCCAGGTATTTTCAAAACAATCAACGTGAAACCAGCAAAAATTGGCTGTCTGACACTTGATTAATTTCCAATGCTGATAGAGATTTAAATAGTGTATTGAAGAAGACATTGATGATGCATTCTTCGTATTGCCTTGTACATTATAACACTGATTCAGAAGGGTAATATAAGAAATGGAGGTATTGGTCAAATGGAATGTAGTGTGTAGTGGGCTTCATGGATTACTCAAACATGATGTTGTTTCTTAAAGAGAAGCTGTGAAACTTAATGCACTGCAAAGCTTGTATCCCAATCAATAGTTTCAACTTTTAAGCATTAATTGTATTAAAATGAACTAATTTTGACATAAAATCTCTGTCAGTGAACAGAGATCAGCAAAGCTACTCTAACTAACACAGAAAAAAGAGAAAAAATATTAAACTAATAACTCTCTTGCTAAACTGTCCACAACTTAGTTAAAATTCTGCTAAAATATATCCAATAAATCTTCATTGAAAATGTCCAAGGACAAAATAGGCTCTTTATGGTCATTGTTTGTAGTTTCTTTAAGAATGCAATAACTTCTTCAGGAAAAGTCTGATGTATTCCCTTACTAGTACAGATTCCAAAGTATTTGCAAGAAAGTCACAAAATATGTCAATTTTTAGTTCTACTGGTCAAAGACTAGAGGAACTTATGAGATAGTAAGTTGTCCATCATCCATCCATCTAGCTGTCTGTCTGTAAACAATTTTTCAAAGTGCTTCTCCTCCTACTGTTTTGGTCTGATTTCAATATAACATGGCACACAAGTAGTTTACACTACACTTAGATGCATAATTTTTGGCATCAATATTTGATTTCGATAACGGTGTTGTCAATGGTTACTAAACATAGAAGTTTCTTTAGAATACTTTCAAAATGCTACTCCTACTACAGTTTTGATTTTATTTCAATATTACTTGGCACACTAGTAGACTACACTAAGGTACACAATTCTATTATTGCTGCCTATTGCAAAGTTTCAAATTCAAGTGCTTTTCTTTGTTATAAGTATGGACCAGTAGAGCTACAGTCTCATCAGAGACTTCTGGTTTTGATATAACTTCTCTAACTTGCAAATTTTTGTCAAAATAAGTAACACAGAGGTCATAATTAGTAATACAAAGATAAAAAATGTGCATCAATCTATTGCATGCTATTAAAGTACGTACTGCACTTCCGATTTTTTTTTAGATTTAGATTTAATTAATTTTGATTGTCATTCCAAGATGTGACATGGCAGTTTATAGTTATATTGCTATTCATGATATTTCCATCTGTGTCCATGATTTTGTCTAGCTTTTTGTTCAGTTCTTTTGTAGGTGACTTATTCTAATTATGATGTGGTGAATTCTTATATAGGTAGAGTAAGATGTGTAGATGAGATATCCTTAATGTCCTCAGTTTGATTTTTACTGTTCTCTGTATTCTTTACTTTATAATACACTCGAACTCACAATGAACTCAGTCTTTGAAAAATCTGTTTCTTTGAAATGAATTTGGTTTCCCTGAAAACATTGGTACAGCTTCTTTGTAAAAAATACTCATGTAGAATGAAATCAGTTAAATTGAAAAACTAGTTAGTATTAATAATTTTACATAGTTCATCAAAAAGAGTTAAACATTACAAACTTCATTAAGAAAATTGAGATAAATGTTTATTGTGCAGAAAAATATTGAATTTGCACACAAAAAAGAAAAAAAATTGCACATTAAAGAAACCTTGCACCATTCAGGTGTAAAACTAAGCATGGTGCACAACAAAAACTTGAAGTGGTGACCTGTACTTGTTTTGCTCTTTTATTTCTGGGTACGTATGGGCTAACTTCACACAATGTAATGGCCTGGCATGTGTTCGGCAAGCTAGTGCAGCTTATGACTTATCACCACTATCATGCTCAGACATCAATTTTTAATACCGATTAGGAGCTTTGAACTGACAATATCAAAGTGAGAGAAGTTTCTTCTTCCATTTGTCACTGTGAATTGCAAAATTTTAACAGAGTAGAAACTGAACAACTGAAACTATTTTGGTCAGAGACAATGGTTTTTTTTAGAGTTGTTAATATATAAACATTGATTAAGCAAAAAATCACTCTGCAAATATTTGATAGATTAATGCTTGTGACTATGATAATTTTCATGTGAGTTTGTCCAAATATATTATCAACTTATCCATTAACTGTCATAGGAACATGGTTTCAGGATACAGAAAAACAGGGTTATAATGAAATCACTGGGACCTGTGAAATTACTTTGCTATGTCTGTAATATGGAATTTGTAAAATTAATATCATTGAGGATCCAAGAAAACTTCACTATATCCCCGAATTTGCAATATTCATGTTCATACGAAACAGTTTGACTGTAATGTTTTTGTCGTATGTTTTTTTTTTTTAATACCTTTATCTGAATTAATCCACTCTAAAAAATAAAACCCAATACTTGCTCAAATTAGCATTTTTTAACCATATCATAATTTTGTATATAAAGATCGAGACACAAGATTTGACAGTTGCTAGTCTTGGGATTCCATGGTTTGCCTTGGTTCCCATTTAATTTTATTCAATGTCTACACTTTTCCTAATGGTGTTTGAGATCTAACATAAACAATTATTTAAATTTAATTTCTCCCTTCTATTATCTACAGATTTGCTGTATTTTAAACAGCAGTAAACCAAAATGTTCCTTGATACCTAGCAATGAAACGCAGAGCAAAAGAAGTGATAATTTTATGTAGAGGCATCTTGGAATTGCATGTAAAGTCTAGAGAGAACAATTTTGGTACAGTTACTTATCTCTCTAGACTTTCAACATCCTGAAACCAAGCACTTATATTAACTATTACCACTTCATGTGTTTAAAAAATGTCTTTTAAAAAAACACTTCTGGAAGTGATTTTTATGCGCCCGGATCGATAGATCCGAGGTGTATATTGTTTTTGTCCTGTTTGTCTGTTTATCTGTTTGTCTGTCTGTCTGCTGAAAACTTTAACCTTCAACATAACTTTTAAACCTTGAGATATAGAGACTTCATATTTGGTATGCATACTCCACTAATAAAGTTCTTTCAAAAGACGCCAAGATCAATGACCTTGTGACCTTGACTGTGACCTAAATGCTAAAAATAGCTTTTTCAAACTTTTGCCATAACTTTCGAAGCATAGGAGATAGAGACTTCATATTTGGTATGCATACTTCACTAATAAAGCTCATACAAATGACACCAAAGTCATTGACCTTGTGACCTTGACTGTGACCGTAATGCTAAAAGTAGCTATTTTCGAACTTTTGCCATAAATTTTGAACCATAGGAGATATAGACTTCACATTTGGTATTCATACTCCACTACTAATGTTCTTTCAAATAACATTAAAAAATATCAATGACCTTGTGACCTTGACTGTGACCTGTATGCTAAAAATAGTTTTTTGTAACTTTGTTGCCGCCGGGTGCATAGTGTTTCACAAACACATCTTGTTTGTGAAGGGTTTTTGCAAGCACACAATAGTGAAATAAAGATGATGTAAGTGAAAAAGTACATCAATTTGTATCAAGTGACATCAGCAGGTGGCGGATACAGGGTGAAAATTACTTCTTATTACAGCAATATGATGATATTACCTCCAGTCTTTTAATTACAAGATGAGATAGTAGGAAGGGATTGACACATAGCTCAATCCACTTTGTACTATATATATATGTATACAATTTGTCAGAATTGTTTTAACAGTAAAAGGGAGATGCAATTTACATTGTTGTAAAAATAGCATACCATTTGAAGGATATTAGTAGCAGGATTTTTTCAATACTTATATACTGTTAGGGCGTTACACCTAGTAATACTTCACATCCCACATTTTGAATCACTATCAGAAAATAAACACTTAATTTTACTCACTCATCCCTTAGCATTAATTGGTTCACTAGCACCCACTGAACTAAAGTAACTGTAGAGCCATGTGTATTAAAACACCTTTTTTATCAGAAAATTTAACAAATTAAGCAGAAAGTGTGTGATTTTCATGGGAATAAAATCCAATCCCATTTTTTCTGAATTTTTTTTTTCTCTAGGGAGTGATTTCACCGATATGTTGCAAATTCATTGCATCTTAGAGTGATTTCAAGTATGACATGAATCTCCGGTAAATAAGTAAATGAACAGATATTTTCATGTAGTTGATTTTTTTTTTTATTTTGAAAAGATATATATTCAAAAAACTTACCAGTTAATTCTGATGTTTGGTTTTTTTTATTTGAATATTATCATTGCCAAATTTTAAATGTTAAAACAGGAATTTAAACTTATATGATTTAAAATCAGATCTTTAAAAAAAAAAAATCAAAAGATATTTTTAGTTCCTTATGTTCCATTATTATTTACATGAACTTTTAATACATGAATTTTCCTAGTTTGAGGAAAATAAAAATTGCTAATTTTACCCAGCTCAAAGGAGCGGTGGAAGTTAGCGCCCCCCCCCCCCCCCCCCAAAAAAAAAAAAAAAAAAATTACTGACTTTAATATTACAAATATTGAATATGAACAAGAATTTTACTGACCTTGACCCAAAGTTATTTTTTAAAAAAAAAAGCATCAAGGTCACTTCATTGGCAGAAAAAAAGTTTTATTTGTATTCAGTCTATAAATCTCAAGTGAAGGCTAATTGAAAGTTGATACTTAACAAGCTAATTCAGAGAATTTGTGTCCCCGGCTTAGGGAAAAAGTAAACCATGCGCAGTTCAGGGGGAGGGGGGTCAGATCCCCCTGACTGAATCTGTAGAATTATTAAATGCATACATGTATACTGAAGCAAATAAAATGCTAGTATGCCAATATAGATATAAAGATTTGATTGCTTATTCTTTATTATTTAAATTTAGTTTAATATATATTTTATTCACAGAAATGGAGCTGAATGTAAACAAACAGCAGGCATAAATGCCTGATTATCAAAAATGCTAATGAACTATGTTCTTTGACTTATGAAGTTTTCAAAGTCATTACTACTAATGTTTATTTTTAAAACGTTCATTTTATTATAGTGTATGGAAGATTCTTTTTATATGAAATATTTATCACACTGTAATGATGATTTTTTTAAATTTGTTTAATAGCCATTCACAGAAATGGATTGAACAGCAGGCATAAATGCCTATGATCGTTCTCTCCAAATTTTTCATTTCACATGCTGAATACTATCATTCATTTCACAAAACTATCATTCAGTAAAAAAAAAAAGTATTTCGGAAAAAAAAGAAAATGGATTGTCCGGGATTCGAACTTGGGGCCTCTCACATGTGAAGCGAGAGACATACCACTACGCCATGGAACCTGTTTTACACTTACGACAATTATATGCAAATATGAATTCACATGTATATATTCACGTTCGAAGGGTCAAAATTTTACACAATGCATGGTGTCTAATTTAACCTTTATTAAACAGTTCTAATAGATGTAATAAGAATATTAAGTCTGCCGAGAACCTGTTTTATACGTAAAAATTCTCCTTATGCCCCTGTGCTAAAAATAGCGACATGTAATACAATGAATACTAATAAAAAAAAAACGGGGCGGGACACTTTGAGAAAGATGAGAGAGGTCCTAAGGAATTTTGGTATAAAATTACATTGCAAAAGCTCGAAATCTTCTTGAAATATCGCCCGGAAGGATAGTGTTACACACAGACAGAATGTATAAATTTACGACCTTGAACTTTTGAACTCAAAATCAATAGGGATCTTCCTTAGGCCACAGGGAGTTGTTACGTAAAATTTCATTGCAAAAGCTCAAAGGGTTCTTGAGATATCGCGTGGAAACGAAAGTGTTATAACAGAAAGAATTTGCGAATTTATGACCTTGACCTTTTGACCTCAAAATCAATAGGGTTCTTCTTTAGTCCATAGGGAGTTGCTATGCAAAATTTCATTGCAAAAGCTCAAAGGGTTCTCGAGATATCATGTGGAAACAAAAGCGTTACAGACAGACAGAAAGACAGACGGACGGACGGACAGACAGACCCAAATTAATATCCCCCACTTTTCAAGCGGGGGACAATTAATACAAACATCATGCAGTTATGATTTAGTAAGTACCGTATAAGTGGAAATTTTAGCGAGATGTAATTTTAGTGATTTGTCCTTAAAAACTGGTAATTTATTTTTAGCAAGATGTTATTTTAGCGATTTTAAAATGCATATTAAAGAAGCTATTACAAATAAAATGCAGTTAATTCTTAGCGATATTCAATTTTAGCGATCTCGACACCCTCATTAATACATGTAATGCCAAAGTTAAATCCTCACTAAAAATTCTACTTATGCAGTATTACTACCATGATCTGACCAAAAGTTATTTTGGCAAATTCAGAGTCACTGACAGTGACAGAAAAAGTGTTAATTTTGTGTCCCATCTTTTACTTTCTAATGGAAAAACAATTAAAGTTAAAACTTTACATAAACATGAACAATATTCTAAAGGTGTGTCTTGACTTTGACTCAAAGTTATTCCAAGTTCAAAGGCACATGCACTGGCATGAAAAAGTATAAAAATTTAAGTCCATTTGATTTATATTTAATAAGTATGATTTATTGAAACTTAAATTCATGCAAAAAATATTTGTGTGCTTATAAAGATATGTTTTAACCTTAGTTCAAGGTTTTTATGGTAAAGTTCAAGGTTACTGACCCAAAAAAGTGCATGTAGATTGAAGTTTGCTTAAATCATGCCCCTCCTGGAGGGGGATGAAATGTTTTTGAACTTTTCAAATCAGAACTGTCTTCTGCTTTTTCATAGCCAAAGTGTTCAGGTGAGCATTGTGACCCATTGGCCTCTTATTTACAATTTATACAATGTTTAGTCCTTCAGCAAGACACTACTAAGTTGAAGTTTGAATTTTATTTATAAATGAAAAATTTTATGATTACAGAGAGCTAGAAGATGAATCTAGTGATGAAAGTGACACAGAAATGGACACAGATAACCAGACTCTGTCCAGCAAAGGCAAACATGATCTCATGATGAAGAGCGAGGTAAGAAAGAGGATTGACTGCAATGTGATAATGAGACATATAGTGTAAATTCCAATCTAAAACTGCACACTACCGGTAATTAAAATAAAGTAAAAAAATAAAATTTAATCCATATTTTAGCAGATCTGAGGCGAAAGACAAGTGAAATTTTAAGATCAAAATTTATCCACAGTCTGTTGTTGTCGTCGTCCTGAACTTTTTACAAGTTCTTATTCTTCTGCAGGACAACTAGGTCAATTTCAACCAAATTTGGCTGTAGTATCCTTGGGTAAATGGAATTCAAGTTTGTTCCAATGAAGGGCAATACCTTCTTCTAAGGGGGAATAATTAAGAAAAAGTGAAAAATGGATTGGGTCATTTTAAAATCTTGTAATGCCACAACAGAACAAAGAAAAAGAATTTTTTTTTAATTATTTAATATATAGTCATGATAAATCAAGAAACATCAAAGGATCATCACTAAGTTTAGATACAAATGTTAGCAAATCATGCCCTTCCCCTCCCCCCTTGAGGATGTTATATATTTATTCTTTTCAATATCTAACCAATTTCTGCTTTTTCCTGGCTAGTATCATCAGGTGAGTGATGTAGCCCATGGGACTCATGTTTGTAAAATAATTGATATCATTAGGGAATTGTTGCACCAGTCTAAAAAAAATTACCATCTTATTTCCTTCTGTGCACTTTCAAACTCCACCACAAATAGATTGGCCTCTCCTGCAGCTGATGATGAGGAAAAACAGATTTGCAGGAAAATAATCAAACAAAATATATCTCCTTTTAGGGCTTCATTCGTCGTAATTGTAGAAGCATATCAGTCGTCTAGCATTACTGCCTATAGGACAATAATTTATCTGACTTTTCCTTGCAAGAAGTTTATCAGTGTAACAGCAGCTGTCTTTAAAAATAATATGATATTTTAAAGGATGTCTTTATCACCTTGATCTCTGCACTCATGATGGACATGTATAAATGGTACAAGGATTTAAGGTATTGGATGTACAACTTTGTAAGGAATAGCTTACAGTACTCGATGCCCTGTATAGTCCTTGAACACAACTTAGATTTCTAGTCTCTGGAACATGTTTGCATGCTATGAAGCATTAACATTTTATTTCCATGGATTCCAATTAGGTTTTGATCCCTATCTTGATGGTAAAAGAGACTAGAACGAAAAACTGACAATCAATCAGTTAAACTTAAAATCAGAAAAAGCTAATTGTGTATTAAAAAATTATGAACAATTGTAAAAGTTAATTAGGAATGTATGAGAAATCTACTTATTAAACACAATTCACAGTAGATTCACATAAACCAAATTGATAGAAAATCTAGATAAAAAGTTTTGCTATCAATTTGGTTTATGTGAATCTAGATAAGAAGTTAAAACCTTTTACCATCTCTACACAATGTACCTTGCTCATTGTGCATGTAAACTTCTGAACATTTTCAGTTTCTCTGTTTGAAACCACAGGACAAGTTTTGGTATATGGATGGATAAACAGGAACCAAAAAAATTCCAGGGTTCGTCATATTCTGAGAAAAGAAGCCATGGCTATTTTTAATCTTAACACATTTTCTCCTTTTTTAGCTCACCTCGACGAAGTTGAGATGAGCTTATACTATATCCCCGGTGTCGGTGTCCCAGGTGAAAGTTTTAGGAGCAAGTTCATTCCCAAGGAACTATAAGCCCTACCTGAACCAAACTTGCATGGATGATGCATCTAGGGATGTACACTACCAGACTTGCTTTGGATGCTGGATCTGACCTACATTTTCTAGATGAGTGACCAGGTTAAAGTTTTTGGAGCAGGTCCATTCCCAAGGAACTATAAGGCCTACCGGACCAAACTTGCATGGATGATGCATTTAGGGATGGACACTACCAGACTTGCTTCGGATACTTGATCTGACCTACATTTTCCAGATAAGTGACCAGGTTAAAGTTTTTGGAGCAGGTCCATTCCCAAGGAACTATAAGCCCTACATGGACCAAACTTGCATGGATGAGGCATCTAGGGATGTACACTACCAGACTTGCTTCGGATGCTGGATCTGACCTACATTTTCATTCCCAAGTAACTATAAGCCCTACTTGAACCAAACTTGCATGGATGATGCATCTATGGATGGACACTACCAGACTTGCTTCGGATGCTGGATCTGACCTATATTTTCATTCCCAAGTAATTGTAAGCCCTACCTGAATCAAACTTGCATGGATGATGCATCTAGGAAAGGACACTACCAGACTTGCTTCGGATGCTGGATCTGACCTATATTTTCATTCCCAAATAACTAAAAGCCCTACCTGAAACAAACTTGCATGGATGATGCATCTAGGGAAGGACACTACCATACTTGCTTCGGATGCTGAATCTGACATATATTTTCCATACAAGAGACCAGGTTAAAGCTTTGGGAACAGATCAATCCCAGTGAACTTGAAGTTCTTGATATCTGCAGTATTAACAAAGTTATGAATGTTTGTTTACACTATACATGTTTTTCACGCCACACGCGTAGAAATGTGTATATGCCATGTAAGGGTTTAAAAACTTGCAAGAATATTGTTGTTGGGATATTTTAAAATACTAAAAATTAAGAAAATATGTTGTGAGATTTGCATTACTTACACTGATAACATTCATCGAGGTGAGCTTCGTAATCTTTGATTACCTATGTTATATTTTAGGTCACAAACACATCCGACAATGTCAATTTTAAAACTTTGTTTATGGACTTTTTTTTTTTATTTGATGGTTTTATTATAGAAATGCTCCTAATATAAAATACACTAGGTACTAGTACAGGTGACTCTCGATGGCTCGAACTCCGATCTCTCGAAGTGAACCTTCGGTCCCCTTTTTTTCCTCTATATAACTAAGCAAATCTACTCCTGATCTCGAGAACATCTATCTCTCGAAGTTCTCTATCTCTCGAACCAAAACATGGGTCCTGTTACACATATTTCATTGAATTTTACTCTCTATCTCTCGAAGTTTTGATTGCGCGTGTATACACGTCAATCAAGCGTAAAATTGATGCAGCCTGGACTTACCTGGAAAATAGTAAATGCCAGGGGCATGCATAGTGGTGTTAATTGGGTGTTTACATAGATGACACTACACCTGTTGGTCATCCGTGTGTTGATATAATTAATTGGTCATGATTGGTAAATTATAAACGAATTCACAACTTATTTTGACTTGAAACCGAAACGATGATTTTTAGAAAATAATTTATAGACGTTCATTTCATTAAGTTCCCATAGACTATGAACTTTTATCAGAGTCTACATAATCCCAGTATGGCAAATTTTGCACAAGAAATTCCTTTCTCAAGGACTGAATACGATTAAGAAAAATCTGGTAAACAGTGGTGTAGACCCGATCAAGCCGCGAAATAGCCAAACCGACAGTTGCTATTCGCATTTCTTGTAATAATGAAATTATAAGAACAAATAAATATTGAAACTTTAGGAATTAGTTTTATTTATTCGAAATACAATCATTGTTGTTGATATCAAGTAAATTACCTGTAAAATACGATTGAAAACATGCAATGGGGACTTTATTTACTTATACTTCCGGTATCTGTAATAATAGAATATCGAAGATCGGAACTGAAAATTCCGGATTTTATTTATTTTCTATCTCTCGAACCCCTCGATCTCTCGAACTTTTCTTGTGGTCCCTTGAACTTCGAGAAATCGAGAGTCACCTGTACTTCATTTCTTCATAATGTTAAGATCCACTAGCCCTCTGTGACCTAAGTGGTTTGCGATGATGATAAACTGATAAACCTTCATTTTGTTTTTTGACTCTCTTATGTTTGACATCAGTGGTTGAGGTTGCTGCGGATGTTTTATTAATGTATGATTTATTCTGATAAATAGATGTATTTTGTTTTCAGGGTAAAAGTAGAACAGGATTTTTCAAACAAGCAAAGAAGTCTTATCCAATGTTTCCTTTTACCGAGGAAAAACTCAAATGGGATGACTACGGAGAGATCATAAGGTATGGGTTTATCATAGGCAGAGGAATTGTCTTGTACATCATGTGCATGCAATGATCAGTTATTCCCTATATCTACAATTTTTAGCTCAGTCTATGAATATTCCTAAACATGCTAATTTAATAACAGAATCCAACAAAATGCTACATTTAAAGTTTTGATTTAATAACAAGGAGGTTTTATAAAAGATAAGTAATATTTGGACTAAAAAATAAAAACAGTTAAGTTTTAAGTGCAGGTGTCTTGCTACTACTGTAGTAGAGCTACAATCTAGTCTCTTCAGAGAATTTTGTCTCTGATATGTTGAGAAATTGTTGGAAGACAACAGAAAATTATTTAATTAAGTTATAAATATATATAATATATATATATTATAATATATTCCTATATTTTATAAGGCCCTTAAGTCCCATTGATTTTGAGCGCATTCTCTATTCACATAGGCCAGAAGACTACACCATTCTAGACGTACCCCAGGCTGATGAGGAGAGCTCAGCAGTAAGACAAGAATTAATTCTTCTGTAGTCATTCCAATCAACACCCATGTTACTAAGAAAATTAAGAATGCACTACTACTGAAAATATTAGATCCACCACCCATAAATTGTGGTATATTTTAAGTAACATTTAAAGCTGAACACGACTGGTAAATAGGTATACGCCATTTTCGATATCATTATCTACAAAACATCAACACCAGGGTATACTCTTCAGATTCGTCACACCTGACTGCTTTATTGTCATGGGTATTGGTGTGGAATAGCGACCCATGTTCGTGCTGGTTATCTTGCCTCACCTTTGTTTACATTTTATTGCAGTTTAGTGTATCTGTGTTTGTTTGTTTACTGCACTGACCTGTACAACTATAATTGTAAGTTTCTTTGGTATCTTACTTTCCTGCATTAGACGAAGCATTACGTTACAGTAAAACTCATTTAGTACGAACACGGATATAGCGAGTTCACGGATATAGCTAAGTGTTTCTGAGCCCCCAGCAAAATTCTTTACAAATCTTTGTAAAATTTTACGGTTATAACGAACTCTGATATAGCGAATTTACGGATATAGCGAACTGATTTTGAGTCCCGCTGAGGTTAAATATAATGAAATTAGCATCTTTTATAAAGAACTTTCAAAGATCTCAAAATTTGATGAGTTGAACTGACTTTATTTTCTTTTAGCATTTGTATATAAAATTCAATTAATAATAAAACTTTAGTTATCGAATGTATGTTTTGTAATATTTGCTTCCAAACATATATGGTACTTAATACTTGAAGGAAAACATGCATATTGCGAATTCGCTATATATGGTTATACGAATTCGTTATACGGATATAACGAATTACGGATATAGCAAATTAAATTCACAGGTCCCCAGGACTTCGCTATAACCGAGTTTTACTGTATAATGGTCTCTACCAAGAGCTGTATAGCATATGTCGGTTCACATCGGTGTCAACTGATTACAATGAACAGTGACAAAGTACTGCCCTTTATATAGGGGTCTGCAGGTATAGCGATTCTCCGAACAAAAATGGCAGACACATTCCTTTTACAAATTGTGTTCAGCTTTAATGATGGATAAGATGTTGAAATGGCAGATTCAGATTTGTAAGTTATAATGAAATGAGATTAAATGATATTTACGAGGGTTGTTCGAAAAGTTCGTGGACGATGTCCATCTTCGTTATATTACTCACTGGAAATTTAAAACAAGCACATTATAATATGTAAAAATATTTGTTTTGTTGATTTGTGAAGTTTCATTCCATTCGATTTAACAGAAATAAATTTACTTCATTTTAAAATCAACACATTTTGTACCCGCGGAGCACACTTAACGGCAATGTAACGTCAACACATAGCGTCGATAATTTATAATCGATACTATACCTATACATTTCACACATAATATTCCAATGCCTATTCATTAAATTCTTTTTCTAATACTTGACATTTATTTTTTAAGAATTGATCTCATTGTATAATTGCCTTTATTAAGGTTTTAATTTCTTTTAGTACTTAACTCTGCTTTCACAGGGTAAGCAACTCTGAGGCGCCTTTGTCTTTCATTCACGTTCCAAATTTTAAAAGTTTGTTCAGATTTTTAAAGTCAAACCGTTTCTTCACAGATCATCCTCATCCGATACAGATTGTCTGTCACTCAAATATTGCCTGTATTATTTGCACACACATGCACAACACGCTTGTGACATATTTTCTTGATTCCTTCAACATTTTTAGAGTTTATTTAGGATTTTTCCTGAGAAAAACACAAAATTTCTTCGGTATCTGCTGCTCCGTGACGTACTAAAACGTCATCGTTTTAGTCGTTTTCAATAAGGACAACTTATCTTCTCAAGTTGATTTCTTTTCAACAAAGCAAAATATAAAACCATAATTTGGTACACGAATCGATGTAACAATTCTGAATTTGAATTTCTAGGTAGTTTTTCGTTTTTCCTCCATTTTACAGAGAATATGACTATAGACATTATTTATTGTATTTTCTGTAAATGACTAAATTTTGACCTGCTCCGCTATCTGATTTTTGCATTTTTAAAATCTGAATAAGTTTTTAATCAATCGTAATATTTTGTAAAAATTAATGCATATCATTTGGATTTATTGTTAAAATATTTCTACCAAATTTGGATAACATATGACGTCAAATAAAAAAAATATGACAGTTGTCCCCGAACTTTTCGAACAACCCTCGTACATGCAGTGAAAGTTACTACACATGTATTAGCAAAAGAATTCAGTTTCTGAAAGATGCAGTGCATTTTGGTCTTAAAATTCTATACTTTTAATTTTGTTTCTGAATACAATTAAAATTTACCTTTTTTCCTATTTAAGAATATTATATTTTAGATATGGAGATGTGTGGAATTTAGTTGAGAGGATCATTTTAGACACATTTAAGATATCTTCATCAACAAAATAAGTAGTTTTGAATAATCTGTATTAATTAAAGCTCGGAAATCAGTTTATGGAAGGGTATGTTGCTTATTATTTCAGTTTGGCAATGACATTAGGTGTTTTAAGGATGCAAGGGCATTTGTTGTGGCTAACAGGATAAATGTATATTCATCAGTACCTGATGGTCACATGTAGGAAGATAAAAACAGGATGACATTGAACCCATATAGCTTGAACACTTTCATTGATTCTCTGTTACCAAACTGTAGTTTAGATTAATATTAATTCATATAAATAGAAATCTTTTTTTTTTAGTTTTCTATGTCATATACAGACCAGCATTATTGATATAAAAATGAACTTGAAAATTGAATGCTTCTAAAATATTCATAAACAACATTAAAGGATCAAAGGTTTATTGAAAATGTCTTTCTTGAATTAATTGAAAGCCATTTTCTGTGCCACGTCACATAGGAAATGACACACAGTTAAAAAGTAATGTCATAAAGCATGCTTGACACTTTAAGTGCTATATCATTTTAGAGGGTTTTGATTTGCATTTTCGTCATCTCATTTGTTTCTTTGGTGATTGTAATGTGTTAAATGTCATTTCAGGAAAATATTAAGAAGCAGGACAGTGCTGTACAAGGTGAGATCACTTCTCTTTAATGACTGTCATCTAGAGTGGAAAAGTTATCACAATTGTCATTAATAACATGTACAAGGGTGTGATTCTGCAGATGTGATCAGTTTGGAAATGCAGACAAAATATCTCCACTACAGACCTTATATAGGACAGCCCAAATTTTGAAATTCAAAATGTTCCTGTACTAGCCTTAAAAATATCACGCCTGCTAATCGATCAATTGCACAACCAGCAGTTGTGTATAACAATCAAAAGAGATCGATTTCCGGTTGTGCAATTGATGCGAATAATTCCAGTACACAGGTAGTAAATGGACCCGATTCAGGCAATAATTGATATTTTTATTAAAATATAAGAATGTGATTCCATGAGCAATTTATTTTTCTTTAATTTTACACTCTCATAAAATGCAGTGATTGTCGATTAGCGACGATATTTGTTTCGAAGCAAGGGCTGTTAGAGCGAAAACGCTGATTGAAAATAGTATTTGCCGACTAAAATTCGTTTTAATCTCAACTAACCTTGAAAATTCAATGTCCACCATGAGTATGCTACAAGTGCATCCTATCTACCAAAATTGGGACTTCGATATGTGTATAATTTGACAAATATTCGTAGAAAATAACATTGCTTATGCATGCGATCATTCAGTTGTGAAAGAGATCTCGGGTTATGCATGAGATGAAGGATAAAAAGTTACGATAGTATTACACAATCTCCATAATTCACCTCTTATACTATTTTATTTTTGGTAATTATGAAATTTTAAATATTGGCTATAATATGAAGACGTTGCAGTGGCAGATCCAGCAATTTTTGAAAAAAAAGGTGGGGGGGGGTGTCCAACACTCATGCATATAGGCACTTCAAACCTGGCAACACTGAGTTTTCAACAGTTCTATGGGGGACTTTGACAAGCCAAAAACAAACAAATAAAACAAAAACACAAACAAGCAAGCAGTAGATATACATGTAGCTATAATTCGCTGGGATCTTCCATTGGTTTCAAAGTGAAACATTGTATAGGACGTGTTGGTAGTTCACCCAGGGCTGGGATTGCATGTCATGTGACGGTACTCGGAGGAAAGCATATTAAACGAGGGAACTCTATTTATAGCGATCAGAAAGGACAGAGATTGAACAACGTGTACAGTGTATTTATTTTATTCGAAATATTTTTTTTATTCAAAGAATTTATTTTATTCAAAATATAAGACGTAATAAAATATCATGTTACATAACTCTCTCTCTCTCTCTCTCTCTCTCTCTCTCTCTGCAAAAATCAAGGGGGGATCCAACCCCAGGAACCACCTACTAGATCCGCCAATGATGTTCAGTCCTTTTTGCAAGCACATTTTGACTTTTTCAGCAGCAGCGGCCGATCTCTATTATAGGGAAATGAAACGTTACTTTTCATCAGCTCTGTAAAATAATCTTAAGTTTAAAAAATTGCTTTAAACTGAGCGTTTATTGTTGTTGTTTCAATTTCATTGTCATTTCTAATTGGATATTAATAATATATGGTTATACAGAAAGAGTTTGTACAATAGATACTCCCAAACCAGGGAGTGTTCAAGATATGAAAGGAAATCGTCGTGATTTTCCGGATAATAATGAAGTGGTAAAAGTTGCAAGGTGAATAAAAAGTTTTTCAATAACACTGTAGTAAAAATTGTTTTGAATGTGCTACAGATGTGACAACAAAGATTTTTCTTACATTTTTTCCATCATACTACTCGCCTTGAGTAGCCTTTTCTGCAGAAACCATGGGTATTATCACGTGTCACGCAAAGATCCTTGCAGGGTTTCAGCATGTGGTTCATCTTGAGAGGTCTACATCTTCATTCATACATTCTTATCATTCATCATTGACTTTTTTAATATTCATTGATGACTCATTGATGATTTTGAAAATAAGAAAGTACTAGTAATTTTTGAAATTATAAACTTTGCGGCCGATTTGATGCATTGCATCAATTTTATTTGGATTTTTTAATAGTGGTATTTTTTATAGAACGATTATTTTTTGTTTTTTGACGATTTTTCCCCTATAACCTATAATATACATGATGAATAAATGTAATAAATATAATTTGTGAGAAAAAACAGTGTCCAACAAGTTCGGGGGTTGAATATCGGAGGGGGGGGGGGGTCCTGTCCACTAGCACCTGTAATGTGATGTTGTCATCTTGATCCTTTCCATCTTTTATCCAAAAATTGATGCAAAGCATCAAATCGGCCGCAAAGTTTATAATTTCAAAAATTACCAGTACTAGTACTAGAAGTATAGCTATATCTACTATATCTATGTATATCTACTGCTTGCTTGTTTGTGTTTTTGTTTTATTTGTTTGTTTGTTTGTTTTTGGCTTGTCAAAGTCCCCCATAGAACTGTTGAAAACTCAGTGTTGCCAGGTTTGAAGTGCCTATATGCATGAGTGTTGGATACCTGGACACCCCCCCCCCCCCTTTTTTTTCAAAAATTGCTGGATCTGCCACTGCAACGTCTTCATATTATAGCCAATATTTAAAATTTTATAATTACCAAAAATAAAATAGTATAAGAGGTGAATTATGGAGATTGTGTAATACTATCGTAACTTTTTATCCTTCATCTCATGCATAACCCGAGATCTCTTTCACAACTGAATGATCGCATGCATAAGCAATGTTATTTTCTACGAATATTTGTCAAATTATACACATATCGAAGTCCCAATTTTGGTGGATAGGATGCACTTGTAGCATACTCATGGTGGACATTGAATTTTCAAGGTTAGTTGAGATTAAAACGAATTTTAGTCGGCGAATACTATTTTCAATCAGCGTTTTCGCTCTACCAGCCCTTGCTTCAAAACAAATATCGTCGCTAATCGACAATCACTGCATTTTATGAGTGTGTAAAATTAAAGAAAAATAAATTGCTCATGGAATCACATTCTTATATTTTAATGAAAATATCAATTATTGCCTGAATCGGGTCCATTTACTACCTGTGTACTGGAATTATTCGCATCAATTGCACAACCGGAAATCGATCTCTTTTGATTGTTATACACAACTGCTGGTTGTGCAATTGATCGATTAGCAGACATGAATATGTATTTCACATTTTAAATATAACATTTACCCACATTCAAATCACTGCACAATTTACTGGTCAAGTTTAGAAGAGCTTTATATGCATTTGTTATATTTAGCAAAATGTCTGCCTCTGTTGGTCTGTTAACAATTTTATAAGCAGTAAATGCTATTCCTCTCACAAATCTAATTTAATGTCTGTATTACAAGGTACACTAGAAGATCTTAACATATCATTCTTAGATCACCAGAGCTGAAAGTTCTGTTGAGCTTTTTTTGATCACATTTGTCTGTTGTACAATGTATGCTGAAAACTTTTCACATTTTCTCCAGAACCAATTGGCCATTAATGGCCAATATCAAGCAAACTTGCCACAAAGGATGCTTGGGTAAAGGGGATTCAAATTTGTTCAAATGAAGGGAGATACCCTTTCATTCAAGGGTAGATAATTAAAAATTACAGAAAATAAGGCATCTTTAAAATCTCAAGAAGCATTGGGCCAAAAAATTTTAAGCTTACAATTGGAATTCAGTGGTTACAATTTAAATAAAAACTTTTAAAAAATGCATTTTTAATAAGAAGTGTTTATTTTTGTAGGTGCTTTACTGCCATTGTAATTTATCATGTTCTGTATGATGGTTCTTGTTCCTCAAGAAATGTTCTACATGAATTAATTATGGATGATCTATAAGGCCTTAGTCAGGATCTATCTCTTATAATAATTTGGTGGGTGGGTGTTTTTTTTTCATTTTATTCTCCCACATCTTTTGGATGATTTTCAGCCATATTTTGCTAGGGTTTCCCAAAAAAGTGAAGGGTTTTCCCCATTAGCTAGATGTGAAGAGGTACTATTATTGTACATGAGAGGGCTTCTGTTTTTAATTAATTTGGTGTTCAGGAAGAAAAAAACAGAGTTATATTTGAAAATATACTGTCTCAGACAAAACATGTCAGAGATTTATTGTGAGTATTGGATATACCCTGAACCTCCTGTCTTTTTTTAGGTTGATTGTTTGATTATTCATGTAATTGGTTTTTTTTTCCTTCTCTGCCTAAAGACATAAACCTGCAAGTCTTGTGGGTTCTACCATTTCAGGATCAAAAGTATTGGTAGTGAAACTAAACTCCTTCACATAAAATATTACACAAATGGCAAGCATCTGACTAGCATCATCTGATAAAAAATATGTTGTTAAATACCCTTAAGCCATGTTCAAAGAAAGGGAAAGCATCGCTAACGAGTGTTCTTAAAGTAAAAAATGCCTTAAAACCATTTTTTTTCCTCGGAAGGTTGTTACAGAAGAATCTTCATTTATCAGTCTGCTTGTTGATATCATCCAATTTCAGCTGTCTCAGCTAGACAAACTAGTTTTTATTTGAAATGTTTTTGGTGTCAATGAACTTGCAAGTATTGATACCTCCAAATTAAAGAATAATAGCATTCGTAAAGAAGAAAAAGGCTTCATTAGTAAATCATGACAAGCAATTAAAATAGGACCAGTGGGATGGAAGGGGGTTTCTCATGATCTGTTAGCAGGTAGCAGTGATATTTAATTTTGTGTGGCAGATATTGGTTTATGATGTATTGTCCTTGACCTTGCAGACCTGTCAGATGTACCTACAAAGTGTGTGGCAGCCACCGTGACCTTGGACATCAATGCAAACATCCAGTATATCGACTTTGAAGGGCGGTCTGACGGGGAATCCATCAAGAAAATCCTTTCACAGATTAAACCCAGGCAGCTGGTAGGTGTATAATCAGCTTTTGAAAGTCACAGTAACTTAAAAAGGCAGGGATGATTGCTATGAAAGTTATCAGCCCTGCCCAAGATTTCAAGTCCTTATTATGAAACATTTGCCTTTTCTTGAATTTTTTTTTACAAATTTAAAACCATACAAATCTTGTTACCGGTCTGCCCTGTGGTTGGCAACTTTTAAGTGGTAATTCTAAAAACCTTGTACAACTTGTGACTAAGGATAGTTGTAATAACTTTGATCCTGATCATAACAACTGATGAGTCGTATGTCACATGGCTTTGCTACAATTACAAAAAAAAATTCTGGGATAGATATTTTAGTGGAATTTTGACAGGTCCAGCCAAGCATCAATATACAGAGCAAATTTATTAACCTGCTGCAAAATCTGTGCATCCATCTTTGGCAGTAGCTTGGGTACTCATTACAGCACCTCAGACAGAGGGGTTTGCAATGCAATTGTGTAGAGATTATTTGGTATCTTTCCAGGACTCAAGTGAAAAATTTTCGAACAGGTGTTTCTCATAGTTACGACACTGGTGCAGATTTTAGGCCTGTGTCTGCCAGATGGATTAATTTGACTCTTTCTTCTTGCAACCATTGAGTAAAGTTTAGGTCCTATGATAGGATTAAATTGATTTAATATATATTGAAAAATACATTTAAAAAATCATTATACTCATAAATATGTTGAAGGCAAACCGAATGAATGACTGTAATGAGCAGTTGGCCCTATACCAAAGTAATGAAATTCATGCATTCCATAGAGCCAGTGCAGTTGCTAAATAATCATACATATATCTAAAATTCTTAAAAGTTGAGTTTCTGGACTTATAAGCACACTATGCTAGTCCGAAATATCTGACGTTTTTTAGGCTTTTTTATGGTTCGATATTTTATGTGGCAGGAAAACATTAGAACCAGCCACATTTCGAAAACTGAGAAATCGCCGCATCCAACCGGAAGTGGCATTCTTGAGTTGATTTTAGATACTTGCAAACCACAGACCTGTTTACTCTTACGATTTCCCCGTATTTTGTACGGATTTTTAGTATAAAATACGTCTCACTTTTTGCTGTTATGAAAATACGGAAATCGGAAATACAATCATTTGGAATTTAGCCATTAGTTTTCGTTATGATCTGTCTTCGTTTCACGCATTTGAGTCGATTAAACAGAGAAAAATTCCAAATACCCATGATGTCGGGTTCCCAAAATGATGTGGTATTATAAAATGACAAAGACCATGTTGTTAAACCTAGTTTTTGTAATCAATATAGCAGTTATTGCCTTTTAATATATGTAAAATCGACGGAAATTGAAATCTTACTGGCAAATGCCAAATCTCACGGAGAAATCTAATCAGAAATACGGAGAGACGACGATATGGGTAAACAGGTCTGAAACCAAATTAAATTTTAAAGTCACAAGTTATCAGTAGTATATTACTTTTAGTACTTACCAATATCGTTTTTATGTGTTCATTTGTAAAATATACAATCCTTTGAAAAGATTTTATCACACTGTCGAGGTTTGTCTTTATTTCATGCATTTTGAAATCTTGCAAGTCCTGTAACAAAATGTGGAGTGATGTTTTCTTTTCTGCTAGAGGCATTGTACTTTTGATAAATTCTGATTTCTGCATTTAGTTCGGTTCGGGAGTATAAAAATGAACTCTGGTTGGAAACGGCTAAATTTCAAGTTTTTGAAATGGCTCCGGTTCAGACGTTTTCCTGGCATGTAAAATATCAAAAGCGTAAAAAAGCCCTGAAAACTTCAGGTATTTTGGACTAAATGTATGCTTGATGACAAAAAGGTAGGAGTCCTTATCAAATTGTCAAAATTGCATACTCGGGGCTTAGAGACCTTTTACCTGTTATAATTAATGGGAATAATTTGATCTTAATTTAAATTATCATATATTGAATCATATGATGGTATTGGACATTCATTCATTTTCATACCAGTGTGATAATGAAGAAATTAAGAATCTACCAAAACAAGTTCTTAAAGTCACATGGGTCCAGTCTGGAGTTCTGACAGTAGAAACACCCAAGGGCCCTTTAGTTGCAGTTTCCTTCTGATTAATACCAAATAAATTTATTCTTCATTAAGATACATACAGTTACCCTGTTTTATCTAGTTTTATTGCAGAATGCAATTAATGCATCAGCTGACATCAACAAGAAAATAATTCTAATATGTTTAAAATATGTTGAAACCTAAAAAACATTGTTTTGGGTTTGTTTATATTTTTATTTCTCTCTGATTTAATAAATGAGATATATTTTTCTAAGAATTGTCAAAGAAAAAATTTCAATTTCAAGTAGAGCTCATAAAAGTCCAAATAAGCAGAAATACAGTCTCATGAGGGATTTTTGTTTATTAATGCATGAGTTAATGACTTTGATTAGTGAAATATTGAGGAATTTATGCACCTTTGGGGAATTATTATATTGTTGAGCAAAGCTTGTAAGCCCAAGTGAAAGTACAGAAAGTTTGTACATGTATAAGCAAACATGCAATCAGTCCATACATTCGCAAAGGAAAAGAAAAGATCTACATATCAGTTTCTCTTGAAAATGTTTGCTTGAAAACAAAATTGCACCAATACCTATAAATATTTCATCTTAAGACCACTGACAATTGATTCTAACAAAGGGGAAATGGGGGTGTATTGTATTGATTATAGCTGAACTGTGTGTGAATTTCAAAGATATCACCATGCTGACATGCAGCTTTAGTGAAAATGCTTTGTAAGCTTAAAAAATAATTTTCAAAAAATTCATAAATATTTATTAAAAGAAGAATATTTGAATAGTTGTTACAAATTCTAAACTGACTAATGGTAAATTAAAAGAAAAGAGTCAATCATGAAGGAATTTGTTACCAGCTATTCAGTTTGGGCCGAAACAGTTATTGTAATATTTTGTTTTCTTTTTTGTTTTATAATTTAATAATACATTAAACATGCACTTTTTAAAATTGATTTGTATGCTTTGTGCTATTTAAGCCTTTTATGCTTTTGATAAGGATTACAGAAATTATTAAGCTTTATAAACTTATAGCAGCAAAATAAATTTTCATGATACATTTAAAAATTGATAATTACAGTAAGAGAAAAAAAAATCAACACAGAATGTCTTCAACTTTGTGTCGTTATATTGTAAAAATAGGCATTTAATTAATGAATCACTTTCAATCTAAGCTGCAATAATGTAACCCTCTGATTTTTCTATACCTGGTATTTTCAGAATTCTCCCCACCCCCTAAAAAAGGACATGGCTACATTATTGCACCTACTCCCACATTTGCACCATTACAGAGATCCTAGGACGTTGTAGCCCCCCCCCCCCCCCCAAAAAAAAAATAATAAAAGCTATTTCAATCTATATTGAGTATATTTTTGATTTTCAAGGACATGGGCAAGTTAATTTATAGCCCACCTGAGCTGAAAACTTGTAACCTTTTCTGAACATATTCCATCCTATATTGCACTGCATGTATATTTGTTTGTTGATCCACCGCAAGCTTCTAACATTTAATTTCAATATAAAATGTTAAATTCTTACACATTGATTCTACGTGACTGTTTTTAAAATCATTTCATTTTTTTTTTTTTAATTGTATTTCCAATATCTGATTTGGCAGATTTTGGTGCGGGGCACCACAGAGGCTACAGAAGCTTTGGCAGAATACTGTAGGAAAAACGAGGTTGTGCAGAGCAAGATCTTCCTACCACACATTGGAGAAGTGGTGGACGTCACAAGGGAAAGCCATATCTTCCAGGTAGGAGAAACGATGTACAAAAATCCTGTTATTATTTAATGTGTAGTTTCAATAAACCATGGAAGTTTCATGTTCTTTTTCAAAATATAAAAAAAAGTTTGAGGAATGAGAGCTGGTCAAAAATATGTAAATTTCTACATAATATTTCTTGAAGCCTTTCCTCCTTTACATAATTCTGAATTTCTTTAAGATTTAAAATTAGAGGGGGGGGGGGAGGTGTAAACTAGTCCCTTCATCACCTCAGGGTTTTCCTGAAATGTTTAACTGCTAACTGCAATTCGGTTCTCAAAGGCCTCTTTTTGTCTTTTGTGGAGTCAGTGTAGGAAAGATAAGTGTCTGAGGAGCTAAATAAAGTAGCATTGTGTGGGAGTGATGAAGCATTTAACAGTTATGGGAAGACAGTTGATTTTCCTAGGATCGAAGGTGTCAATATCATAATGATTACCTTCTTGATACCTTTCTTTTTGTTAAAAAAAACTATCAAAAACAGATTTCTTTATATAACACCCTAATTATTTTTTATATTTAAGGTGAGATTAAGGGACTATGTGGTGTCTGCCCTGGAATTTGCCAAAGCCAAGGAGACAGAGCTGGCGTGGATTGATGGAGTGTTAGATATGAGTCAGGGTAAAGTGGATACGGGGGCCATGTACGAGGCAGAGGAGGGGGAGGTCACTGACGAAAAGGCGCGGAAAATCCGACAAGGTGGGGAGAAGGCGTTAAATGTGTATACAGTAGAATGTGCCTATAATTTGTCTTTATTCCATTGGTTTCAAATAATCACAATTTAAGGGAAAATAGTATGGTATAATGTATTCTAGTATTTGGAACTTTATAATGCATGGAACATTAAAATTTTTCCATTATTAATACAAGTATAAAGTGAAGAACATCTCTAACTAGAGAAACAACTTGATTTCTATTTTCTGATACAAGTAGGAGTCAGTGATCTTTTTTCTTATTCTGTTAAGGCATTTTTTTATTTTCAATGTAAGACTCCAATTTCAATCAATTTCTGTACACTCCCTATATATTCTCTGTATCTGTTACAATTTTTGCCTTAATTTAATGTTTTTAATTCTCTTCATAGTACCAGTATGTTTAATTTTATCTTAGATCTGTACTTATTGACTCAATTCTAATTTTCCACTAATTCTCCCTTAGGTAGATAGCTCAGTTTTTTTGTGACACAAAATTCTTATTTAAATGTATTTTTAAGTCAAGATAAAACTACTCTTTTAGAGGTTTATCCTTGATGAGAGTTTTTAATTTCCTCATTAAAGATTTCTATTCTTACTTTATAATAATGAAATATGATTCCTCCTTTTTATGTTCGAGTGTTAATTGTAATAATAAGAATGTATAATTATGCGCCCAGATCGATAGATCCGAGGCGTAAATTGTTTTTGTCCTTTCTGTTTGTCTGTATATCCGTTGTCAACATTAACTTTCACGATAACTTTTGAACTATGAGAGATACAGACTTCGTATCTGGTTTGCATACTCCACTAATTAAGTTCTTTCAAATGACACCAAGGTAAATGACCTTGTGACCTTGTCTGTGACCTATATGCTAAAAATAGCTTTTTCGAACTTTGTTGCTGCCGGGCACATAGTGTTTCACAAACACATCTTGTTTTCTTTTCATGTTTTAGTCCCTTATGGTTCAGTCAGAGGATAATTACAGCACATAATCTCTTTTCATTGGTCTATTTCTATGCACTACAATGATGACTTATATTGTTTATTTTATAAGATGGTACTACAGACACAGAGGAGGATCCAATGGAGGTGGTACCTACACTAGAGGCCCTCCCACACAATCAGTTTGTAGGACATAAAGCCGTGTTTATCAACGAACCCAAGCTCTCCGACTTCAAGCTTGTGTTGTTACAGGAGGGGATTCAGGCTGAATTCATCGCTGGTGTGCTTATCTGTAACAATAATGTAGCTGTCAGAAGGGTGGGTGTTTGGAATTCATCATACAGACCTTAAATCCACATTTATAATACTTAATGCTGTATACAGAGTAACTTTCACCCATGTTTTTTTTCCCACCCTTTCACACTCGCAAACACTCTTGCCCCATTTTAAATTAACCAAGGAACAGTTGTTCAGAAATTCTACTGTATTCTTTGAATTATACCTATTTTAAACTATCCCAATTGAGAGAAGGACCAAAGGGGTGAAAATAAAACAGGGACAAAAATTTCCTTGTTTACAGTTCGAGGATAGGGCATGTTTGTAAGATTTTAAATGAAAAGTATTGAATAGATAAGTAAAAAAATGTTATAAACTATGAAGAAGCTGCTTAAAAAAGTATCTTTGTCTTGTTTGTTACATGGGAAGTAAGTTGACCAAGCAATGTACTTTTATTTTATCTCTATCTTGTCTCTTATCAATTACAGAATGAGGCAGGCAGGATACAGCTTGAGGGGACGATATGTGAGGACTTCTTTAAAATTCGACAGATTCTCTACAATCAGTATGCCATTGTGTGACCTCTCGTCCATAGAATGTGAACATGTGTGTAATCCTTGTCATGCATTTGTAGTGTTCTGATAATTCCGTGAGACTTCCACTGTTCCATGTATGACTGTTTACATTGAAAATGAATGTGTGTGTGTGAAAGAACTTTTAAGATTATGCAGAGTGTGTACTGAAAAATGATATATTGGTGGCTAATGACATGGAAAATTTTGTTTATTATTGTTATCGAGGAGTAGCAAATGAAACGGTTGAAAGTTATTTTCTCATCTGTAATTCAGAATGTTAAGCATTTTTTACACTTCATTAGTGCCTACATGATGCAGACTGCATTGTACATGTGTGTAGAATAAATATGGTGGGAAAATGTCATCTACCTGTATTTCACTTCCCTCTTTTTTTGGCAATCCTGTTTTTCTTTGTTTTTAAACGTCCCTCCTGAGAAATTTACACTCATATGGAGATGTACAACTTGCTGGTGGAGCCCTGGAAAAAAATTTATAACTTAAGAAGATGTTCTTACCACTGAGTAAAAGATGATGTGTTTAATGCAAAAATAGTGAAAAGAAAAATATTAATGAAGGTAAAAGTGACAGAATAATATTGATTGTGGACTATGCATTTAACCTTACTATTTTTAGCTTACCTGAGATAAAAGGTGAGTTATTCTGGCCCCAGGAACATGAAGCATCTTAAGCTTAAGTCAGAATCTTCATGTTTTACTTAGTTTTTGTGATAGTCTAGCAGATCAAAATTAAAATATTTTTCAAAATTGATTTACTCAAGTACTGTTATTTACAAATTGTGAGATAAATTCAGTAGTCAATAAACATTGAAAAGGTGATTGAAAATTTGACTGAAGTCTAATTCTATTTCATAATCCTGGGGCCTGATCAAAATGTGTCCATTGTCATTTTAGCTCACCTGAGCCAATAGCAAACCATGAATAGTAAAATTTATTTGAAGCAATCCTCATGTGGTGTAGATTCAAGTTTATTCAAATCATGGCCCCCTGGGTAGGGTGGGGCCACAATGGTCGATCAAAGTTTTAGGAATATATAGGAAAAATCTTCTCTAGAATAGCAAAGCCATGATTAGTCATATTTATATGAAAGCATCTGCAGGGGGTGTATATTCAAGCTTTTTCAAATCATGACCCCTTGGGGTAGGTGGGGCCACACTGGATGAGCAATAGTCTTTACATAAGACTGGATAGGGGAAGTCTTTAAAAATCTTCTTTTCAAGAACAGCAAGGCCATGAATAGTCATATTTATTTTGAAGCATCCCCATGTGGTGTAGATTCAAGTTTGTTCAAATTATGAACCAGGGCTGAGTGGGGCCACATTGATCAATCAAAGTTTTACATAGGAATATGTAGGAAAAATCTTCTTTTCAAGAAGAGAAAAGCTATTGATTGGGAAGCATCCTTTCGTGGTGTCGATTCAACTTTGTTGTTCAAATCATGACTGGGGGAGGGGGGGGGTTAAAGTAGGGCCACAACTAAAGTTCAGACTTGTAGAAAAAAGGTCATTTAGCATAAAAAAAATACGTATGCATGCTTTGTTAGTGTAGATTTAATTTTGTTCAAATAAGACCCCCTCTCCCTTTTAGGGGAAGATGGGGACCACTTATGCATTTAAGCCTTTTAAAACTATGCTGTTCTTTTTCATAGCCAGTGCTCAGGTGAGCGATGTGGCCCCTGGGCCTCACGTTCTTGGTGTTGTTCTCTAACCAAACTTGGCACAGAGTATCTTTGGGCAAATGGGATTCCAGTTTGTTCAAATGAATGGCCCAACCCTTTTAAAGAGAAAATAATAAAGAAATAAGAAAAATTGGATGGGTTATATTTTTAAACTCTTCGCAATTACTAGTTGGCAAAAAAAATGAAACGTGTGAAAGGTTTCTGGGATAGTGAAGATTCAGAATTGTTCAAATCATAACCCCTATCGAATAGAGTGAGGGCACAATGGGATATCAATGTTTTACGTAGGATAAATCTTTAAAATTCTCCCATAGAAAACGGCCAAGTTATGATTAAATGCTACAATACTTGTATGCAATAATTTTACCACTGTACTAGGAAAATCCTACTGATAAAGAACAGATGGGACATAGTTACTCAGGAGATTATTTTGTTTTTGTTGGGAGGAGATACATAATGTCAATTTAAAATGACCTTTGGAAGACTTATCATAATATTTTGACAGGTTTTACCCAGGTCATTTGAAAAATTATCCTATCAAGTAAAATTTGGATCCATTGTGTCCCTGTCTTTGGTCAGAAGGTCACGAACTGAAGACAATAGAAAATACAGTTTACAAATGTGCTTATGCACCATCTGAGAAATAAATATTTAACAATTAAAATACCAAAATCAATATAAAGTGAATACAGTTTGGCTGATTTATTCTCAGAGTTGGACACAATAGCTGTTTCAACGTCGGTGATGACCTTTGGTAACATCTGTTCTTAAATGTATTTTCATGAAGGCGTGTTAAAAACATTGATCTGTGTTAATGTTGCATGAAGCTTTCTTAAAATTATTTCATGCCATAAGCATGGAATGAAGAAAAAAATTCGAGATAAGATCTTGATCAGGTTAAAAATGAACACAGATTTATTTGTCAATATTTGTAATTTGTAAAGAAATTTAGGTTTATGGGAGCTAATTTGCGGATGAGAAGACCATTTTGCATGTTGTACTGACACAAAAGACATAGTTAGATTTGTGTGTAACAGGCAAGATGTCATATTATTTTTAGCTCACCTGAACTGACAGCTTTTGTAATCACACATTTTCTGCTGTGTCCAACTTTAAATATTTCACATTTACGACCTCTTCTCTAAAACCATTTTCAACCAAACATGCCATAAAAGCATTCTTGAGTAAAAGGGATTCTAGTATATTCAAATGAAGGGCTCTCCCTCATTTAATGGAAGATAATTTAGAAACAGTGAATGGTGGCATGTTTTAGAAATCAACTTGAGATAGTCATACATGTTTTAATACTGAAGCATTCCAAGTACTCGAAGTTTCCTCTAAAATATTGTTGTGTGTTTACTTTTAACTTTACTAAAACTTGGGGAGAGTGGCCGTCTCATTTTGTAATGAACCCAACAAATGTACTTTCTTCTATGCTTAATTTTTTCAAACTAGAGAGAAAAATTTTCTCAGCAAACATTTCTTACTTTTGCCTTTGTAGCACAGTTAGACCTAGGTCTGAAGATTTAATTTGTAGACAAAACCATGTATTCCAATTGGTTTCCAATAGACTTTATAGTCCAAATTATTTCATCGCATTGCCCCTTTAAAACCCGCCGTGTTTAAATTTGATCACTGACTTGGTAATACCCAAACTGCTTTTTGTCATTTGTGCGGTATAATATAAATACTTAAAAATAATGTAACGAGTACTGCATTTAGCCGAAGGTGACTGTAATAAATTTCATTCCAAGAAAATTGTTGTCAATCTAGGCGCATATTCGATTTTTGTGCTGTATAGCATACGTCCAACCACACCGGTGACGACTAATGACTTAGTCGGCGGCTTTACATTGTGGACCTTAGATATAGCGAGAATCAGATCGAATATGGCGGACACCTTCCTTTTTCGAATCATACTTAGCTTTAATAAGCTTTGAATGAATATGTCGAGTTTTATACAAACGACTGTATTCAGAGGAGAACAACCGAAATGCATTGATTAAAGCACATTTTAAAAGCTTTTAATTAATTTTGGACAATTCATTCCATATTCAATAATTTTCTCTTTATACATGTACATGTTATATATGTAAGCAAGTTTATTATGAAGTACAAATTGTACTTCGAGTTCGTTGCCACGATGCTCTAAGTGAGGAAATATTACCGGTAAATTTATTAGGAAAACCTATTAATAGTCTTTTTGATATCTATTCACACTTTATAGTGTTATCAATGGTTGACCATTATTTCATTGACCATTTGTATAGCACGCCAAATTCACAAAAATGAGCTAAACCTAGTTTCACAATTGATAAACTAGGTTTATCGACTGTAAACTATAGTTTACAAACCATCTGTAAAACTATATTTAACGGTTGTTAACTATAGTTTACGAATGCTAATCTAAGTTTATCTGTCTGTAATAAAACGTTAACAATAGATTTTGTTGATAAACATAGGGCGAATTTGTTGCACATAAACTGGTTCAGGTTTTGGTATAAGGTTTAAAACTAGTTTTTCAAACTGGTTTAAATTTCGTCTGGTTTACCTCGGTAAAACAAAAGAACAGTTTATACAAGATGGCGTCAAAAAGATGCAGAACAATATAGGCTAATACATTAACCAAACATTACACATGCAAATAAATTTGTTAAAATCTTTTTCTTAATAAAAGATTCCAAGAAATTATAACGTATTCATATTCTCTGATTATCTTACTCATAGTTAAAGTGCAGTATTTTTATTTTGATTGCCTCAAAGATTAATCGAATGAACAAATTCCACATTTTTAACACATGGAAAGATAAACACTCGGGTATTTATAATTACTCTTTAGATTTCCAGTATTTAAGCTGTCTTTACAGTATGTTCTACAATTTACCATACATGTTTTGTTTTGTTTTTTTTTTTTTAAATTCATGAAAATATGACAACAAAGATTTGGGGCAATGACATCCGCAGATGTCCCCCTATAATAACCCTCACTAAGGGTGCCAGGGGCTCCCTAGATTAGATAGCAAGATAATATATGTATGAAAGATGTAATAGGTATTTAAATCAATAGAGTATAATATAATCAAATGGTATGTTGACAATAGCAAAATAATATATGTTTGAAAGATATAACAGGTATTTAAATCAATAGACTGAGTATAATATAATCAAATTGTATGTTGACAAAGTACTTATACAGATACAGATAGAAAAATTTTGTTGCTATGGGGAACACAAAAAAAACACTGTCCAACACACCCCTTAGCAACATGTATAGAGGGCCAGGTCACCCTCATATACACCATATATAGATTATATCATACATATATAAGTGTATACATACAATAATTACAAGTTTATTGCCAAAGATTTTAAAATATGAAAATTGTATGTGATGCCTAGGGATCGTTTGGTGACTAAATAGAATTTCATAAGAGCATTTTTCAAAAAGATTAACATGTCTTCACTTGTAATATTATTTTTCATAATTCTACATTTCACTTTATATTTAAATATTTTACAAGCAATAAATGATAAGACATTATTCAAAACAAAAGTATTGTAGTTGATACCATGACTAAAACCCACAACAATATTTCTCCAACAAATATCTATACCTATGATTTCAGAGACTTTGTTCCATATTAATTTAACTTGAATGCAATCAAAA